AAGTGTGGTGACACTTAAATGAACACGTGGATGTTTGTTATAGAACAAAACATTGGAGACCCGTCGAGAGATTCCACATGGATAACTATCTGAGTGTCGGTGGTTAATCTCTAACGTTCGGTAGTGAAATTGGTCCTTTGACTTGAGGTCGTCATGGTACCTTATATGAGGACAGTCATACTTTGGCGGTGTTGGATGTTGCTCTGAAAAGGGCCGCTAATACGACATCGTTCGGGTACGTCAAGAATCGTATGAAGGTTGTGATTGATCAATAAAGGATTCGTCACTCTTAGATAGTAGGAGATTATGATCTGCGTTTCATTCAATTAAGTCAATGATGAAATCCTTGGCCAAGGTGTACTCATAAGTCGAAAAGGAGTTTTCGATTTATATTGACTTAATAGTGGAGTGAAAGATATGATCGATGATCGAGATTGACACAACTCCATATCTCGTAATTGATCGGATCATATTGACGAAGGGATTATAGTTTCACGGTAAACGAACGAATTTGGTTTTGTCATACCACGTGACATTTCCCGTCACATGTATTGCCCTGACACATTGCTAGATGTCAATCAGGGACGGCGAATGTGAATTGACGATAAATTAAAAGGGGTGTTTTAATTTATCAATTTTGATTAGATCAAAATAATATTTCACGTCGTTAGGCGTCGTGGTCGGGAACCTAATGGGTCACACACAAAAGAGAATTGGAAGATTGCAAATTGCCAATTGATTAATTTAACAATCGTTGGATAAATTAATTAATTGGATTTGTTATTTATATTTTGAATTAATTAATTGGATTAATTAATTCACGGACCGGGTTTAATTAATTGGATTAATTAATTATTGGACTGGACCGGGCCGAGCCTGTTTGGGTTTATATAAATAACAAACTAGGGTTTGAGGTCCATTAAGGTTTTCATTATTCTTGCTAGCACAAGAGAAAACCCTAGAGGCTGCAATCATTTTCTCTGTGTGGATCACCGTTGGAGGCTGAACAATTGGACAGCTGTGGTGGCGAATCAAAGTTGTGGAACGAAAAGAAAAGCAAAAGGATTGCAAATCTGAAAAAAGGTACAATGTTATCACAATTCCTAACCAAACACAATGAGATCTATTGGATGGGAATCGAAATAATTTAATTTTCCGCTGTGCATGTATAAGTAGATTCCCAACACGTACAACTCTGCAGCTTTCAGAATTCTCTCTGTAGTTGCCTCCCAAGATAGCTCATGTGAGCATCAATCACGGGAGCAGGCTCATCTTGCAATGCCTTGCGTGTTCCCTCAACAACCCATTGCCATCATCGTACGCTTGGCAATTCGAAAACTGCTTGAAGAAATTGTTCAAGGGATGATTGGCATATATTACTATCTTATCCACTGCTAATGCTTCAGCCGTGGTTGTAGAGACAACATTTGTGGCGTATATTCAGGAACACCTTATAGCTGGATTGAAGAGAAGAAATGCAACATTGAGACTAACTATGTAATCAACATTCTACTTGTCGGAGACAGGTTCTTGACTTTCTTGTCAACCGTTCGTGGATGTGTGTGAAGTGCCTCTGCGTTTTGAAGATTTTACACCCTCTTGTGCATGTTTTTGGGCTTGTTATCTTTGTAGACTTTTATTGTGCGTGCTTCCCCATCCAACAATGGTGCTCCTGACTATAGGTGGTTTAGACATCTCAAATTATTATTTTTCTGATGTAGTAATATTTTTAAATAATGTCTTTTCTTAGGTTAGATGGACTTTAATAAAAAAATAAAAATTCAGATAATTTTCTTTTAAGTAAAATGTCACCCACTTTAAAACATAATTTACTTATTTTAAAATTTAATCAATAAAAAGTACCTATTTAAGAATATCCAAGCATGAAATAAAATTTCAATTAAGCTCAAATCAACGTACTAAAAACATTGCAAATATACATGTGACAACACCACATTGGCTGTCACAAAACTATTGCTTGTAAAAGGTCCAATGAATACTTCACCCGTGTACCTATAATGCTATTTGTACATTTCTTCCGTTCATGTAACGAAGTTCATAAAATTTGTTCAACAAATAAAAAAAAAAAAAAATTGAATTAGAATTTCTTCATCCTCTTTTCGATATCTCATTTATATGTAAATCAATGGCATTATTATTTCGTTTTGGCCCTTTGGACCAAGCTAATTTGCCAAGGAGGGTTTAACACCCTCCGACACTCACAATGAGATGTGGGGTGGGTGCTAAGGTTGGACAAAACTCTCGAACCGAATTGAATCGAATTTAGCAGTTCTTCTTAATTTAAATATTCAAACGGGTATTTAAATCGAGAATCGACGGGTTCGTTTCGGTTCTAGATCAAGAACTGAAGAATCGAATATTCGTAATTTTCTAAATTTATTTATTTTAATTAAGCCAAATTATTATATATTTTTTTAAATAAATTTACTAACTAGTTAATTTAGCTCAAAACAAACAAATATGATTTTCCTATTTCTAATTTTCAATCCAATCACAATTTAATTAAATTGACTTAAGTTTTATTCAAATCTATTATTCTACTTTAGTGTCATTTTTTACTGTTCTGAAAAAATTGAATTGAAGCTCGACTGCGCCCCCTCTTAATTATTGTGAGCCTGTCATCTTCTTTTTCCTATGATTTTAACAATCGATTGAAGAGAAGAAATGCAACATTGAGACTAACTATGTAATCAACATTCTATTTGTCGGAGACAGGTTCTTGACTTTCTTGTCAACCGTTCGTGGATGTGTGTGAAGTGCCTCTGCGTTTTGAAGATTTTACACCCTCTTGTGCATGTTTTTGGGCTTGTTATCTTTGTAGACTTTTATTGTGCGTGCTTCCCCATCCAACAATGGTGCTCCTGACTATAGGTGGTTTAGACATCTCAAATTATTATTTTTCTGATGTAGTAATATTTTTAAATAATGTCTTTTCTTAGGTTAGATGGACTTTAATAAAAAAATAAAAATTCAGATAATTTTCTTTTAAGTAAAATGTCACCCACTTTAAAACATAATTTACTTATTTTAAAATTTAATCAATAAAAAGTACCTATTTAAGAATATCCAAGCATGAAATAAAATTTCAATTAAGCTCAAATCAACGTACAAAAAGCATTGCAAATATACATGTGACAACACCACATTGGCTGTCACAAAACTATTGCTTGTAAAAGGTCCAATGAATACTTCACCCGTGTACCTATAATGCTATTTGTACATTTCTTCCGTTCATGTAACAAAGTTCATAAAATTTGTTCAACAAATAAAAAAAAAAAAAAATTGAATTAGAATTTCTTCATCCTCTTTTCGATATCTCATTTATATGTAAATCAATGGCATTATTATTTCGTTTTGGCCCTTTGGACCAAGCTAATTTGCCAAGTAGGGTTTAACACCCTCCGACACTCACAATGAGATGTGGGGTGGGTGCTAAGGTTGGACAAAACTCTCGAACCGAATTGAATCGAATTTAGCAGTTCTTCTTAATTTAAATATTCAAACGGGTATTTAAATCGAGAATCGACGGGTTCGTTTCGGTTCTAGATCAAGAACTGAAGAATCGAATATTCGTAATTTTCTAAATTTATTTATTTTAATTAAGCCAAATTATTATATATTTTTTTAAATAAATTTACTAACTAGTTAATTTAGCTCAAAACAAACAAATATGATTTTCCTATTTCTAATTTTCAATCCAATCACAATTTAATTAAATTGACTTAAGTTTTATTCAAATCTATTATTCTACTTTAGTGTCATTTTTTACTGTTCTGAAAAAATCGAATTGAAGCTCGACTGCGCCCCCTCTTAATTATTGTGAGCCCATCATCTTCTTTTTCCTATGATTTTAACAATCAAAATTATGAAGAACTTAGCAAGGAGAGATACAAAAGACCAATAAGATTGGACTACGTTATTTTGTAAGAGTTAATATTGAACATATTATTAGTAGAATTAGTGTAGTTTTGAAAATATTAAAAAATTAATTATAGTACACAATCTGAGAACCGAATGAAATCAAACCGAACCGATTTGAACTGAATGGAACTGAACTCGAACGGTTTTACAATTAAATTTGGAGCCGACGATTTCACTTACTAAGTACCAGAAAATTTTGGGTCCGATTCGATTCTTGTTAGAGCCGAACCGGATCATCTTCAACCTCTTTTTGGTATCTCATATATATGTAAATCAATGGTATTATTATTTCGTTTTGGCCCTTTGGACCAAGCTACATTGCCAAGGGGGGGTTTAACACCCTCGAGCACTCGCAATGAGAGCGGGTTGGGTGCACTTTTTGACGTTTTTTATTCAAGCAAGTCGAGTATATATCAACCAACGTGTCAAAATTTTTCTTGCAAAGGAGTTTTATTTTGACCTTTTGGGGGTGTTACTTTTGGAAACATTTGGGCATCGGCTGAAATAAACCGTCGTCCATTTTCTGCGAAACCGACCCTTTACAGTGAGTTCGTGTGGACAAGGGAAATACAGAGAGATGTGCGAGAAGCGAGTGCTGATTGTAGGAGGCACGGGCTACTTAGGTCAGCACCTCTTGCAATCCTTCGCTGAGATCCAGCAAACATCTCCGTGTACTCTTGCATTTACCTACCATACTACTCCCCCTCCTCAGCCACTACTCCGTGCCATTCCTCATGCTGTTCCTTTCCAAGTGGATTTGTGCACTGGCGATGGCCTCCATGCCGTCACCCAAACATTGGGCCAGGTAACACACTATTTTTATGGCTACTTAATATTTTAATAGTTTTTCATTTCTACTTATGTTACTGGTTTGTGCTTGTACTGCTGGACAGTTTGATCCTTCATACATTTTTCTTCATTTTTTGGTATATAATTTTTAAGTAGTGGATTTTTTAAATCCTTGTGCTAACATTTAAGGTCTTCATTTTTTGTGCTAGGAATTAGGTTGGTTCATAAAATTGCTGACTAGTGTATGATGATTTTGTATTACAGCCTGATGTGGTGGTTAATTGTGCTGCTCTTTCCATTCCTCGTGCCTGCGAGATGGATCCTGCAGCTGCCATGTCTATTAATATTCCTACCGCTCTTATAAAATGGCTATCAAGCTTTAGTGGGAAAAATACTCTTCTGATTCATTTATCAACTGATCAAGGTTACTCACATCTGTTGTAGTGCAATTCTGATCTATAGTTTCCAAAGACAGATGATTTATATTCCTTTATGTATAGCACCAATTTGATGAGCTCTCATTGATTCTTTCTTTATTTCTTCACTGAGAAAGCATGGCTTCTATCTTAATTTGATTTCCGTCTTTCATTCTAGAATTAATTTGATAACACTATATTTTTTCTTGGGAGGGCTTTATTGTTACCCGGAAGAATTAACACTTCTTACTCCTGTCTTCATTCCAAATTTAAGAAAAATGAATTTTGCTTAATTCACATCATGATATTTTTAATTCCTTAAACAAGGGATCAAGGCATTCCAAATACTCGTCAGAAATTTGCACAAGATGAAGCACCCTATAGCTCTATCCGTGTTGAATCATTGTAATACATCCTGTTTTTGCATTTTTATGAATTCTACTTGCTTTTGGCTTCCAGTTATTAAAACAAAGATTCATGGTTCTCTTCTTTTAGAAGTTCCTTTCCTTGTTTCTTCATCCCCACTGCACACCTACAGACCCTAAAGAGGAAAGAGATAAAACCACAGAAAACAAAAGGAAAATGATATTCATATTCTTCACTGGCTAATGAAACAAATTTGACTTTACTGCAGTTTATGAAGGGATAAAGTCCTTCTATAAGGAAGAAGATGAGACTGTTCCAGTGAATGTTTACGGGAAGTCTAAAGTTACTGCAGAGCAGTTTGTATGTGCAAACTGCTCGAACTTTGCAATTTTGAGAAGCAGTATAATCTATGGACCACAGACTATCTCACCTGTTCCAAAGTCACTTCCAATTCAGGTGCATGTACAGGCAGATCTTTTTTTGTACCTCTGTAGCTTCAAAATTTTTAACATTTAAATGTGGATACTTCCATATTTTTCATGCAACGCCCTCTAGTATATATGAATATCATAATCCGCAATGACTATTTTGCTTTTGAACTCACATTACAGTTTCCTAAGGAATTGAACGATAAATTTAAATGCTTATGCATCAGATTGAAGTTTTTTATGTCTAAAAATAGACCACAGGAAGCAGAGAAAATAAGAAAATTTTCTTTACCCTCGTTCCTTTTGTCCTTTGGCGAGTGGAGAGTACATAATTTTACCGTTTTAACTTTCTTATATGTGATATTGAAAGAATCTATGTGCATTTCAACAGCTACACTTGAACTTTTAGTAGTTTCTTGCAATTCTGTGCCATTTAATAAGCAGATATTAAAATGTATATCCCTTGTTGCAAGTTTTCAGAAAAACAAGGTGATAACCTGATGTGTCATTTGCATGATCTACCTTGCTGGAAACTGAGGAGACCATAGTTATGAGACTATTGATCCAATTAAAAATGTTGTAATCTGTATAAAAGACTTGAAAAACAGGAAGCAACTCATTTCAAAATTGGTGATGAGCTAATACATTGTTACATTTTATTTTGATCATAATAAAAGATGGTAAAGAAGATCTGCAGCTGACTCGTGTTCCACTCATGAGTGTGAAACATAAAGTAGGACAGGAACTCTGAAGAAAACCTGGAATTTAGCTTTGATGATAAACATAATTCTATTTGGATGCTTACTTTGAAAGCTTTCTACAGTCACTAGCAACAATACGCACTTGATGTGTGTGTTAATTTCATAAAATACGTTTTCTCTGATATATAGTTAATGCTTGTGCTTAATTCACAACATGATTGTTTAGTAAATCCTTTCTAATGAGTAGCATTACTACATAAAAAAGGATCCGCCTATTTATTGGATTGTTTTTAGTTACCTTTCCAAACTCTGCTAGAGATAGTTTAAGTTAGATTGACACACCAAAGCAGTTAATATGATTGTATGGATGGATCAATCATGTTTTTATATTTGAATACTCAGTAAACTGGTTTATGATGTTGGGAAATTCTACGAAACTCATTTGTATACTTGAATTGGGATCACAATAGTGTTAGTTCTGTTCTGTTCTCAATCTGTACTTCTGAAACTGGAGTATTTGTTTGAAATTGATAATCAAGATGTATATAATGCAGTGGATGGATAGTGTTCTTGCTAAGGGGGAGCCACTAGATTTCTTTCATGACGAGTTTCGTTGCCCTGTCTATGTGAAGGATCTTGTCACAGTCATACGGACACTGACTGACCGATGGATCGCAGGTTAAGATGGCTTCTGGCCTGTGTGCTTAATTTTAGTACCTTGCATTCATGCTTATTCCTCCTTTAGTGTCTTTATGTGACAACCCAAATCCTTAATGATTCGAGCGTCACTAAAATTTAAATAAAATAAATAAGTAGAATTTTTATAAAAATAATTGCGATTCAATATTATTCATAATAAGCTTATTGTTTGACATAAGGAAATCTAAAAATGAATTCAACATAAATTAAATAAAATTCAACATAACTTCATGAAAATTATTTTAAATATCCCACGATGGCATTCATCTCCTCATCGACCATCTCGAACCATTAATTTTCTAAAATGGGAAAAAGAACATAAAGAGAGATAAAATCTCAATAGGTGCGCGTAAGTAATTTTTGTTCTTGTATACGCATTTCATGGAAATTTTCATCCTTGCATGTGGAGACATGAAAATTGGACCTAACTTAGATGGTACCAAATTTTCGTGCGTACTTTAGTCCGTCCTTGCAAATCTTATACATAATACGAACCATAACTTAATATAACTATGAAATAACATATATATGATCATTCACGTAATAACGTAATGACACTCTTACTTTTCATTGGGCAATTCAAAATAATAGAAGTGATTGTTGGAGAGAGATCCTTGAGCCGCGTGCGGTGTATGATTGTGTAAATGTACGACTATCTCTAATAAGAAAATGACAAGATAAAGAGTTAGGCGGAGAGACAAAGTGAAAGAGGTAGAGAGAAAGAGTTGTAAATAGTTGGTGAGGGGTAGTTTAGTGTTGGGCTTGTCTCCTATTTATACTGTAAATTTTTGGACAATGTATAATAAAGTGAAAGGATGTGAGTTAGGCATGGTCAATGCATAAATGGTGTATTATCTTAAAAGTTGTCAAATCAATACCTTTAACGATGTGGTCAAATCAATTGACTTTACTTGAAACTTGATGCAAATAATGCTTGTGGTCAAATCAATTATCTTTATTTATGTGGTGAAATCAATTACATTGACTTGAAATATGGAGGGAATAATGCATGTGGACAAATAAATCATCTTTAATCATGACCAATTGGCAAATTTAAATATTTTATGCATGATTTCATCTAATTTCTAAAATAACTCTCCGCTTAGGTCCTCAAACTATCGGCCAATAACCAATAAGGTCATTAGACTAGGTCAAAACCAGTGAGGTCATTAGACTTTAATAATAGCGCACTTAAGTTTTAAATTTAAATGTAACGACTAGTAGTAAAAATTTAGAATATTACACTTTATCTCACATTTAGGTTCAGTGGGGTGGGTGTTGTGAAATTTGTCTGTTGCTGTGTGATTTATTATATGCATCGAGTTTGAAGTTTAATCCCCTTAGCTGCGGTGCTTGAAAAGAAAGAAGAAAAAGGATCCTGTGCTAATACTTTAATGGATGTGCATTTTCATTGAGGTAGCACACATGAGAATGTGAATATTCTCTTTTTATTGTGCCATCTATTGCATGCTGAAACATGTCACTGGAACATGCTCTTGCGTCTCCATTCTAGTATGGGTTGGTTATCATTTACATACCCTGAAAAAGGAGGCATCTATGCAATAATGATGAGACCAGATTCAAACAGTGTGCTGGTTATCCTCTGTTGTCATGAACTTTGTTTTCAAGGTGCAATGCTACCTGCATTTCACTTACTTCGAATTTGAAATTTTTTGTTGCAACTTATATAGTGGATGGAAGTGTAAAATGGAGGACCACTTGGGAACTTCCAGACTAACGCTAGTCTTTTTCTTACTGTTCAAATTTCTTGGGTATATAACATTATGCTGTTGGGCATGTCCTGGAATTCTCGATCTTCTTTCTCTTGTAATGAGTGGAAAATTTTTGTCAGAATTGCACTTATACAGATAAGAGTTTGATTTAGAACTTCCATAGATGAGCTTCCGTATTTTCCTGAAAGTAAGGAAAAAAAATCGAAGTGGTGAGTTCTATGCTCTTTCAATACTTGATGTGATCTGCTGAAAAGCTTCCATAAATTCATGTATGCAATGGCATGCACATAAATATAAAGAGAATTGCACATGTTTTATATTGATAATGAAAAAGTTATCCTTTCCTGAATTGGTGTTCTGTTCTGTTCGTGGATCCTGCTTTGAAGTTGTAGTCTCCTGCTATTCTGCTTTAGTGCTTTATCAATTGCTTTTGTGTCCTGATATTATGCTACTCATAATTCATTTGCAGAGGGTAATCAAATGCAGTTGCTTCTAAATGTTGGCGGCCCAGATAGGGTATCCCGGTTTCAAATGGCTGAGGCTGTTGCCCATGCTAGAAATTATAACACATCATTGATCACACCAGTCTCTGCATCGTCTGTATGTATACTATCATCAGTTCTTTTTGACACACTTCTACTGTGATACGGGAATCATTACTTCCTCTCAAATGTTATCTCCATAACATCTTCCTTTTTTTATATTAATCCTTCATTTTCTTCATCTAAATTTTGCTTTTATGCGGTGATATAAATTGATATGATAAATGAACAATGTGCTTCCCTTAGAAGCAAGATTTTAAATGTGCATGTTGGGGTTGTCTAACACTTTCTTTCTCAAATGTCGTCTGAAACTTCAGTTTTAACTTTTCAGGTTGATCGAGGTGTCAAATCCCCTGCTGATATTTCCATGGATATCACTAAGCTGATTCAGATGCTGCATATTTCTCCAATTTCATATGCAAAAGGTGTCAGGTTGACACTTGATGCTGAAGCCAGTTCATGATTTTAAAAGAACTTGTTTCCGTCATTCTTTTCCGAATGGATCTTTTTATATGGTTTTCATTTCCTTCATTACCAAGTCTAATTGGGTGTTGAATGCACAGGCCATTACTGGAATTAGTTTGGCTTGAAGACTGAAACTGCTTGTGATTTGGGAGTTTATAAACTTGTTGCTAATATAACTAATAATGCACAGCCAAGTGCATGAACGTGAAAAGGATTACAATACTTACTGTCATGATGCCATAGTAAGTGGTTTTCTGTGTTTATGGATATCATGAATGGCCTTGGAGGATGCAGGATTGTAGTGTTTCTATTAGTTGTTTTAAGCACTTGCAGAGAAACTTTGCAATACTTTTCCCATTGTGGCTTCAAAGTAGAAGAAAGAAGTGAAATGCTTGATCTTTTGCTACATTGTGAAAGCCTATCATATTTTATTTTTATTTTTATTATTATTTTGTGCACATTGCTCGGGGAAGAAGGGTTTTGTGCCATGTATGCAAGGCTTGTGCAAACCATTGTAAAGGCCTTTTCCACTTAGGAAGTAAAACTGGGGCAAGTCGTTCCAGGATCTAGAACCCAAAAATACAAGGTATGCTTGTTTTACTGGTCGACATGTAACGTGTTTGCAGTAGCAGATGAGAACCTTTTACATATTGAAAGCATTTTTATTTTTTTTCTGTAGTGCCCTTCTTGGGGAGGTTCTTTCTGCAACTCATATCTGAGGAAGGGCCAACCTCACTTGTCAAAAAGATTCTTATTCCAGTGAAAAAGGTGGAATGAAAATGATAGTACTCTTTAAATAGTTATGCTATCTATAGGAGGAGAACATAAAATTCTTGGAATAAGTTCCATTTGGGCGATTAGGAAGTTGCAGCACTAGCACTAATATTCTCTTCTTGTGGCATTAAGTTCAGCCCTACAAAATCAAGTCCAATTCTCGAGATTTGCCCCCCACCACCATATTCTTGACCATTTCACTCTATTTTTAGACGTCACATGATGGCAAAGGACATGTTTTGTAAGGTAGACTGATTGAGATTAATTAAATCCAGCCCATGGTAACCAAAAATTCCGTAAGAATTTTCTTGTGTTCGGTTGTAACTCGCAAGCTGTAATTGTAGACTGAGGATTAGAATGGCATCTTTTGCTTTGCAGCAATGGTCGGGATTGATTCTTGGTATTGTTAAAATGTCAAATCTTGTGGACAAGAATATTGCCCAAATCGGTTCGTATTCTATGATTAATTCCTCATTGCAATTGTTCATCTAATGCGTGAAATATAATCTAAATTTATTTTATTTTTTCCTTTAAGATGTACACTAAGCTTTTATTTTCTAATAATTGTGTAAAAATGAAATTTTATGTAATAAGTCAAATATTGATTTTGAAATGTGTAACAATTTTGTAACGAAGTAATTCCCACGGATCGATTTTTCTTCAATACATTTAAAGTTGATTCTCTTCATCAATACTTAACTAAACCTATAAAAATATAGATATTATTATAACCTACATGCTAAACCAAAAAAATCAAGATTGTGATATTTAATTATTTTTACAAGATTTTTAAAAATAATTACTGCAATTACATGCATTTTACCAAAATTATTTTATGTCTAAGTAATGCTATCCGTTTTAACATTTTTAGATCTTGAACAATGTAATAGTGATCCTAACTCCACTGCTACAAGAATAGATAATCGTCTAAACTTTAGAATAGATAAAATTATTTATTTACAAAATAAATATTATTCTCTCAATCCCATTTATATAGGCTTAGTTTCCTTTTTTACTTGTCCCATATATATAGTTATGTTTCTTAATTTAGAATATTTTGTTTTCTTCTTTTATGAATTACCCTTATTTAATTTGTCTAATTATAATCAATTTTTTTCCACTTAATTTGCCTACTTCTTGAAATCATCCAAATACATATACATTTCCCAATAATTTGCCTACTTCTTGAAATTAATTTTCAAATTCTTAACTAATTCCAACGATAATTTACTACTAGTTGTTGAAAATTAAATAAGGGTAAACTAGGAAATTTCTGAGCAAAAATTACTTTTTTAATAAAATAAGATTCTTTAATCCGTGTGAAAAATAAAATAAGCCTGTATAAATTGAACAGAGAGAGTATTATTTATAAACAGTATTTATTGATCATCAATAACTGTAACATGATCACAATTTTTTTGAGTTAATTGTTCTAATGGTCACTGAGCTTTGGTCCATGTTTTTAATTGGTCACTGAAGTTTAAAATGTCGAGTTTTGGTCACTGAACTCAAGTCAATGTCTTCGATTACTCATGAACTTAGGTCTATATCTTAGATTGTTCACTGAAATTTAAAATGTCGAGTTTTGGTCACTGAACTTTGGAATATTCCGTACGTTACTCACTAACATAACTGTTGAACTTTAAAAAATATCGAGTTTACAGTGAGTAATATACAATATTTTTTAAAGTTCAGCGAGTAATGTATAATATCTTTCAAAATTTAGTGAGTAATGTACAACATTCTTTAAAAGATCAATGGACAAAATTCGACATTTTAAATTTCAGTGAGCAATAGAAGATAGGAAACTAAGTTCAATAACTAGAATTCGATATTTTAAATTTCAGTGATCAATCAAAGATATGAACTTAAATTTAATGAGTTTTACTAGGAGTTGGCAGCTGCCGGCTTTGGTCCCCAGTCCTCAGCTCTATAATTGGAAGCCAAATTAATTTCCTACCCACTGAAAATATCAGTTTTATCCTTTCTGCCCTTGCTTTTAAATTGGGCAGCTCAGTCGCCCTCCATTCCAATCAGGCGTCGAATTTTCGTACATTCTATCTCCTGCCCTTATAATTTGGGCAGATATATTTCCCTGTCCGTTGAGCTCAACGACGTCAACAGCTTGAACTTCAAAAAGGGGTATTTTAGACTGTACCGAAAGAAGGTTATAAAATCCCAAAAGTGAAACAAAAAATGTCAAAAATTAATTATAAAGAAGTTTGTGTAGATAAGTTATACATACACAGAAGTTGTGCTGTTAATCAGGTGTATTCACATTTTGGAGTGCTTTGAAAGAGACTTGGAAGTCACAGCTTTTATTTTCGATATTGTTAAGGCTTAAGAATGTGGAGAGTTGCGAGATCTGCGGCGGCTACTCTCCGACAGTCGCCGCGGCGGTTCTCGACAGCGATTCCTGGACCGTGTATTGTGCATAAGCGTGGAGCTGATATTCTTCACGATCCATGGTTTAACAAGGTCTACTTTTTTCCTTTCTGTATTTTTAATTGAAGCTTAATTGTCGTAGACTAGATTCAAGTTCTACAGTTTGAAATTCTGTTGAATTTCAGTGATTACATTTGATTGAGATCTTAACTTTTTACTCCAATTTTTTTGCATATATGGCTTTTTAAGTTGTTGTGAACTGAATTTGCACAGTGGAACAATAGTTGAATGCAGTTTTACATAGTTGTGTTAATTATGAATTTGTCAGTCTATGTACCACGACGATCAGGTGATATGTGAAGTCTACTGAGCGATCTTGAGTTGAATTTGAGAGTACATGATCTTTCAAGTGACATGATATATAAACAAAGGAGAAAACATTGATTCTTTCTTACAAAAAATGCACGTCTTTTTTGCGGTTGATAACATGTTGAATGAACAAAGAGGTTCCAGATATTAATGTAAATAAATTAAAAAGTTTCTCTGTGGTTGGTTATGGTATCACATAATCATTTGATTTGTGGGAAATGCGAACTAAATGATTATGCATTGTTTAATTAGTAATTCTTTTAAGAATTTTTGCTATTTAATATGTCTATCAAATACCATGTTTCATGAACATGTGTACTTGTCCATTATTTCCCAATCTAAAAGATAAGGCATTGAAAACAACATTTGTAATAGAATTGATTTTTGAAGGTGTGTCCAATTTTAAAGCCCAAATCATATATACTAGCAAATATTAACACTGCATTTTTGTAGCTAATGAGATTCTGAAAAGCAGGACACAGGTTTCCCTTTGACAGAAAGAGATCGGCTAGGGCTACGTGGTCTCCTCCCACCTCGTGTGATATCATTTGAACATCAATATGCTCGTTTTAGTGAGTCTGATAACTTCTAAGAGCCATTTTTGTTGCATACAGTTTTCCTGTTCATTTATTAATTGGATCATCAGCACTAACTGTTGATTACTTGTCAAAGTTATTCTAATGCAGGAAATAATAAAAAGGTTGGAGAACCTTGTTTTTTTTTTTTGTTTTTCCCGTTGGAATTGGCACGGACTCCACTAGATATAAATAACCTTTTTGACGATTCTTCATTTTATACCTCTAATCAAAATTAGAGGAATTCAATAATCTATGATGTGATTCAAGTGAAGGAATATTTGATTGTCCATTAAAATTTACATTCAATTCGTAGTCTCTATTTGCATACTGTTTCTTCTTTATATCTTTTAGGTTGTAATTTCTTTCAACGTATCTTTCTGCATATATCTATCTAGTAACCGTTGTAGTTTAAAATATAGCTTAAGATTGTGAAGTTAATGCTGATAATTCAACTATTTGTATTGTTAGTGGAGTCTTATCGGTCGCTGGAAAAGAATACTCAAGGTCAACATGATAATTTTGTATCATTAGCGAAGTGGAGGATTTTGAATAGACTGCATGACCGGAATGAGACTTTATACTACCGAGTAAGTTTGGTGGGTGTGGCTCTTGTAGAGGACAAACATATATTATACCAATGCAAGATGACTTGACCTCTTTACCATCTTCGCAGGTCCTGATTGATAACATCAAAGATTTTGCTCCAATAATATATACTCCGACAGTAGGATTGGTATGCCAAAACTATTCTGGATTGTTTAGACGTCCACGTGGAATGTATTTCAGTGCCAAAGATAAGGGGGAGATGATGTCTATGATCTATAATTGGCCTGCTCAAGAGGTACCATGTCAGACTTGGATACATGTTCATTATTTTCAGCCTTGCCTTTTGGTATATTATGAGTGGGATGTATTTTTCTTTCTCAGTGCTTTTCCAACCCAGTAAAATGTTATCCTGATAACCTATAAGCATCTTATGGTTATACTTTTAGTCCTCCTTGTATACGATTGTTATTGTTCTAAAACCATACATTCACCCACTATTGCATCTTCTTCCCTATTGAATTATTTCTTCTATTAGGTCGACATGATTGTGCTGACAGATGGCAGTCGTATTCTTGGTCTGGGTGATCTTGGAGTTCAGGGAATTGGTATACCTATTGGGAAGCTTGACATGTATGTTGCAGCTGCTGGCATCAACCCCCAAAGGGTATATCCCTTTCGTCTTTCTTCGGCACATGCACATCTATATTAAGCAGGTCTATGTGATACCTGCACCTTTTCTTGTGTCCACCTTGATCCTTTTGGCTTACCCACAGAAACTAGCCCCACATTTGTGGTAGACTTGTTATGGACATTTCTTGTGTCTAACACGAATTTTGTCATGTCCTCTATTATATGATAATGTATGGTTGAATTCTACGATTACCCATATATTCTATGTTAAATGCATATAGGATTATAGGTACATATATGGTTACCTCCGACATCCACACCAAAGGTGACATATATGTACATATGAATATAGGTCCAAATACCTGCATATATGTCCTTGCTATTTTTGGCGGTCTTATTTTATGGTCTTACAGAACTTAAGCAGTATTCAGAAGATATAAGTGTGAAAGATATATCAATGGTTCCATTAAAACAAAGCTAGATAATTTTCATTATTGAGCTGTAACTGAATATATTACTACACACAAATATTTTGTTGGTATTTTTTATTTATTTATTTATTATTTTTTTTTCTGTCTATGCATGGATTTACCTATACCTGTGTCTGCCAGATATTGCCAGTGATGCTAGATGTTGGTACAAACAATCAGAGGCTTCTTGAAGATCGCCTTTGTGAGTTGATTTGTTTAAGACTAGTTTTGACTTGCAGAATATATTATTTAGTTTTCTATTCCCATCTTTGACTCTGTTGCCAGCTTTTATTTTTTGTTCTTGCGTTGGCCAGAATCATCTTTTTATATACCACACTGCTTTGGTTAGACTGATGTACTCTACGACTCTGTAATTTTACTTTCCAATAAACATACAGAAATGGATATTTAAATAATATATCAATATGTTCACTCCCACCTTTATCAGATATTTGATTTTCATTGGCTAATTTCTATTTCCAATGTTTAACATGATTAATTCTAACTATACTTCTATTCTGAATTTATCTTTAGTTCTAGATTTAGATATTAACTCCTTTTGTTTTTCCCTTCTTTTCATAAAATTTAAATGATTGTAAGTTTTTGTTCTCGGTTTATCTTTTAGCAAATCAACTGGAGATTAGATGTAGCAAAAGCTCTGAACCTTAGATTTTTGAGAAATTATTTTTCACATGATTGTAGTTTGTCAGATTTAGGACTAAGACAGCCTAGACTGGAAGGAGAAGAATATTTGTCAATTGTTGATGAATTCATGGAAGCTGTTCATGCACGTTGGCCGAAGGCTATTGTGCAGGTCCCTTTGTTCTTAATTTGTGGATTTAGTTTATATTTTTGGCAAATAGCGTACTAATAATTTGTTAATTGGAACAATCTTGTCAGTTTGAGGATTTCCAAATGAAATGGGCTTTTGAAACACTAGAACGCTACCGTAAAAGGTTTTGCATGTTCAATGATGACATACAGGTAAATATTGGTGTTAGATCCTGCTATTTCCTTTGCTAGGATGGAAGATACTATTCAATAAAAAATTCTGGTGGTATTAATGTGCATGGAATTATCATCACCATCTTTACCTATTATAGGGAACAGCTGGTGTTGCATTGGCTGGGCTACTTGGCACAGTTAGAGCACAGGGACAGCCATTGACTGATTTTGCAAACCAAAAGATAGTTGTGGTTGGAGCTGGAAGGTAGAGCGTCTGTATTGTATGATGTTAATTAAAAACAGAGATGGTCCCTGGAAGCTCTTCTTCATTTCTCTTACCCTACTGTCTAAATTGCAGTGCAGGGCTTGGTGTTCTTAAAATGGCCTTACAGGCTGTTTCCAGAATGGCAGGACCAGAGGCAAATCCTCACTTTTTCCTGCTTGACAAAGATGTATGGTTTCAAAAATTTGAGCAGTAGTTGATTATCTTTAATCATCTCAAAAGCTGCAGTTTATCAGAGAGGTTCATCAATGTTCAATACTATAAATTTGAAGCAAAACATAAATCATAATAGATAGGCAAAAAACCAATACTTTATCATCTTACAAAACATTTTATCTCTGTTTTCCTTGGAAAAAACATATTACAATATTATAATTAGTCTGTTGTTTGTTCCCCTCCCTCCAACCATGGGGCAGAAGAGAGAGCGGAGGGGTGGGGTGGTAATTTGTTCCGTACGAATATGAAATCTATTGCTTTATTACGTTCTGTATTTATTTTTCTCATAGGTTTTTGTCCTATGTATTTTGAGCATGTATGACTTCAGGGTCTTATCACGAAAGAGAGAAAAGATGTTGATCCTGGTGCTGCAACTTTTGCCAAAACCCAGGGAGAAATTGAAGGACTAGGTCTTAGTGAGGGAGCCAGTCTTATTGAAGTGGTAAGTTATCTTTTTTTTGTGCAACATCTGATAGTTAGAGCTGTGGAGGGTATGATTTACTTTAGAAAGGAACTAATCCACTGGCCAAGCTTGTTAGCTTAAATGTGAAGGTTGCTGAGCCCTATGGTGTAAGGATGACTTTATCATCATTAAGAGTAATGGATCCTATGTGTTAGACAATAATTGCAGAAAATTAACTTCTGTGCAGGTCAAGACGGTTAAGCCGCATGTGCTTCTTGGCTTATCTGGGGTCGGTGGAGTCTTTAATGAGGAGGTTGACATTGCCTAAAAGTTTTCTTCACTTCATTATATGTATTACTGAAAGTTTTCTAATGTACAAAAGGGGATGAGTTTTTTCTTTGCTTAATTCTTCGGGTATCAGGTACTTAAGGCTATGCGAGAGTCTGACTCCACTAAACCTGCCATTTTTGCAATGTCAAATCCCACTGCAAATGGTTTGACTAGAAGCTCTCTCAATTTTGAATATATTTCATTGGTGGCATTTATGATACTTCTGTTGAATATTTTAACTTTAATCTGTACATGCTTTATTATACAGCCGAATGTACTGCTATTGAGGCTTTCAAACATGCTGGTGAAAATATAGCATTCGCAAGTGGGAGCCCCTTTGCGGATGTTAATCTTGGTACTCTTAATAGATTGCTATTTTCTTGGCAGTATATTATAGTTGTTTATCAATTAAGCTCTCTATTCCACTGTGAAAGATCAAATTCTCGATTTTCTTTCCCTTTTTTGTGGTGGAGGGAAAAGAACCGAGCTCCTTGTTGATATTGAAACCACCATTGCGTTGCTATGTGATTGCACATTCTTTTATATTTTTATGACAAGTACCAAATGCATAACTTTTATGGACAGAGAATGGAAAAGTAGGCCATGTGAATCAAGCAAATAACATGTACCTCTTTCCCGGGTCTGTAATAATTCCTACAAGTACTTTTAGATATTAGAAACTTACTTCAACTATCCTCTAAAATTATGCTTTCACTCATTTAGGATTGGCTTAGGAGCTCTACTGTCTGGTTCTCGTATTATCACTGATGGAATGTTGCAAGCAGCTGCCGAGTGGTATGCTATGAAATTCTATGCCTCCAACCGTTTTAATGATGTCCCATGTTACTCATTCAAAAGATGAGGACTTCTTATTCCTTCTCTTGTACTTAACAAACATTATATCTTCATGCAGTTGCAAGATTTATTTAGTCGTTCCATGTTAGCTTCACACAAGGTCTATTATATGGCTGTGATTTCTCCATTCTAAAAAAATAATAATAAATAATAAAAATTGGAGCAAAGTAGCTGAGATTTTAGTCCTACCTTTGACAATTTGCTTCATGCTGCCCGGTTGTACAAATTTTACTGCCTGTTCGGTACAATTTTGTTTGCATAGTAAAAGCTCCACCTACCAATTTTCTCTAGGCCCTCTTATAATTGATGAATATACTGAGCTGAATAAAATATATTTGAAGATTAGGAGAATGTGAGTTACATGAAAATCGTAAATGTTTGATTTCATAGTTTATATGACCCATGTGTAATGGAATAAGAACTTTAGGATTTAAGTAAGCGAACGGAAGAAACTTTAGCTTTATTATTGAATATGTGATTTGAGTTTATTCAAATTACAAGATCATTGAAATAAGCATTTTTTCCCCTCAGCTTCCAGTTCCATGCTCAAACATTTTTGTGTGTGTAAATTTCAGCTGTAGTCTCCAACCTTTGGTAAGTGCGACCTTTGTGTCCCAACCCGTCAAATATGTACCAGGGTCCTCAACCTTTTAAATCTGTGGTGGCATGGTCCCTAACTTGTATATCAAACATGCTAACATGCCCTAGTTTGCTTCAACAGAAAAAAATCACCGCCAGATAATAGTCTTCCTATTTAAAGAGAATCTAGTCTAGTCTAGTTGCCATAATGGTGTAAGAATAGTCTACTCTTCGCTAAGATAGCTTGCTAATGTGGTTTTGTTTGTGCAGTCTTGCATCTTATATAACAGATGAAGAAATTCAAAGAGGTGTCTTGTATCCATCTATTGATAGGTAAGACTTGGCTTCTCTGACTGATGAGGAATTATTAAAGTGTCCATTTCAGATGTTGAGATGTCTAGTTTCTCTTTCCCTAAGGAAAAAGGAAAATAGCTCATTATCTTTTGATTTGTAAAAATTGTTGATGAGTTTTCAATACGCTTCTCTTGGACGACCTTTTGCTTTTTGACTTCTACTGAACATATGGTTTGCCTATGGTCAGTATTCGGGATATTACAGCTGAAGTTGGAGCTGCTGTTTTGAGGACAGCTGTTGTAGAAGAAGTGGCTGAAGGGCACGGCGAAGTGGGATCCAGAGAACTGTCAAACATGTCGAAGGTCTGTTTAGACATATCTTGGCCTTGATAAAGGGAAAAAGATTATATCTAGTAACCTTTTATGACATTCAAACCTTATGAATTTCAAGAGTGCTCAATACAACTAAATATGACACATGATAATTGTATTGTCGACTAATCTGTGGTTTAATTATGCTGATGAACGCAGGAGGAAACTTTGCAATATGTGAAGGACAACATGTGGTACCCAGTTTACAGCCCTCTTGTTCACGAAAAGTGAAGCATTTCTCGCAATTACTGAGGCTATTTATTCTGCAGATTATTCAAAATTTCTCTAAACCATTGTATGCTTGAATACTAATTTTTACGAGCTTTCGCAGACATTAAAAGGACAGAACTAGTTAAAGCAGCCTATAAAACAATGAGCTAGTTTCCATTTTCGTATACCATCCTAACAAATGCGTGTATACCTATTTGATTTCAAGATTATATTCCCACTGATTAATTAGTTTGACATTATTTCTGTTGTATTCTATCTTTTTGTTGTACAATTTTAGCAGCAATCAGATTAAAAATTCAGGGTTTAAATTATATGTATTGAATCTTCTAAAATTTTAACCGTATGTTAGTCAACAAAAATGAAACATCTGAAATGACTAAAGTATCCCTATTCTTTCTCTTGACTTCTCACTCTTCTTATCCCCAATTTCATGGGGAAAATTCAGGCATCGGCTTCAAAGAGTAGACACCAAGATATGTGCAGGAAGAAACATTTTTTTATTAATAACACATTTCCGGCAAAATCAATAGTAGCAATTTGTGTTTCCTTGGGAACTGTAATTGCCCATGTGTTTCTGCAATACATGCTATTAACGATCTCGTGCTTTTGATTCCCAGCTAATTAATCGTTTATTATTTTAATTGCACATATAATTGCGTGATTGATCTGGATGTCATTTATCCGAAAATACAGG